CATAAAACACACACAAAAGCACAAAAGTTGAACAAAGTGCTTCACAATTCAGCCAAATGAACCATTAAAATAAAAAAATAATAAATATTGTATTCTGTTTTTATCTACGTTATACAGTATATTAATATTTTTGAAATTGGGGTTGTACAATTGATTCAAATCAAACCTTTAGTATAGACTCAAGGTCCACAGAACAAAGATAAGAGAAACAGATCAACAATAAAATCCAAGAACAAAGAAAAAAAAACTATATTTATTTGGGTTGACTGCAAAAGTTAAAGATGCCTGCCACAGCTAACATTTGCCAAAAACATTGTTGTACCTCAGTCAATTTTACAGATGAGCTAACCCACATAGCAGACAGGTGGGCCAGATCTGGTGTCAAACTGGCACTGCTGGCTGACTGCGGGCATGGCAAGTGATTTATCAACCTGATGTGGGCCAGGTCTGGCAATGATGACACTGGTTTTAAGATGATATGCCACAACTGGCCCAGTTGTGGTTTAGTTTATGTGGTGCTGGCCCTTGCACGGACCACATCTGGACCACCAAAGGGCCATTGTTCTTCGCAGTATCTGAGTGAGCATCGTGTGGGCCATGTGGGAAATTTAGAGTGGTATTAGTGGAGAATCACCCCCAGCACATATTGCTAACAACATTTGATGAGTTCTTGCAATAAGGCATGAGACTGTGCGTAATGTATTTTCACAAAATTTGACCAAAACTGTCTCCTCTCAACAAAAGATAATCTTAGCTTAAAACTCTGGCATGAAAGGCAGCCAGCCATATGCATTTCTTCAAGAAATTCTAGCCCTTTAATCTTCCATCTATTGTATTTGCGTCCACCACCTCTGTTCCTGGCAGAACGATCGCCTTAATACCAGAAGAGGGAAAAGCACCAACTTGAATTGATGGCGGCTCTCCCATCTCTCGCATTTGTCATTTACTAACGCACTTGACCTCATAATCAGACTGCCGACACAACAAAACAGCAAACAAGTTATGTCATGTTATCAATTTATCCAACATGACAAAGTAATAACAGCAATAATTGAACATGTACTTCGAAACGGCGGCGTTGCAAATTGAAATGCCGGAGTGTGAGATGTGCTTCTCGCCAAAAGAAGGAGCAATGAAGATGATGGAAAATCTAATATGAAGGAAGACAAGTGTTTACATTGCAGCTCTGTGCGTTTTACATCCTAAGTACTCTCCGACTCTGTGCGAGCATCCTGAGGGCTTCTTAAAAAAAAAAACTACGGGTGCCATTTCAGTGTGACTGTGGCAAATAAAACCCTCGCTGTTTAATCTGACGAAACAAAACTACAAATCTAAAACATTTATTTTCATTAGTTTTGCTGTATTTGTCCATGACGTGTCTGCTGGGTTTGTTCTTTTTTTCCGGCCTCATGGGCCAGTTTTCACTTGATTCCACTTTGAGCGTCTGAATCAATCCATCAATCCCAGAAGAAAAGCACGTCAAAGATGTTTTGACTCAAACTGGAATACATCATGGTCCATATTTTATCTACCTGACTGACCTCTCCAGTCACTCTCATTTGATACCAGCTGTCTGGTACAGCGAGCAGAGGCTTTGGGCACTTCACCTGGATACAGAACTGGATGGCCGATCCTTTTTTTTTATTCCCAATGCCCCAAGGCTCTTCACAGTTCAGCAGCTCTGCACACCAAAACAGCACATCAGCTTGACAAATACAGAAGACCGATAAAACACTGCTCTCTATTGTGTGTTTTCACACGCTGAAAGACAACAACAAGCCTGCAAGACGACAGAGAGGAGTCAGCTAGAATCACAAAAAGGAGCTTGTAGCCAGTTGAAGTCTTGTTCACATCCACAGGACTTTCGRCTTTCTGTTTCTTTATTTCTATTCTTTGTTTTAACAAAAAAAAAAAAACTTTGCACATTTACATTTGCTATTTGCATGAAGGAAAACTAAAATGAAGAAATGTGAGCTCTCCTGACTAATCAGATCTCTGGTGGCAGGATTTTTAAAACAAAAGAAAATGCATTTTTGGCCCCGCCCAGTCCTGCCTGGGTTCAAGTTTGGGTTTTGCGTATTTACATTTGGTGTTATGGCCCAATTCCAGCCTGATCTATAGAACCCAAAAACCCTGAGGTTCTATTTGGCACCATTTGCTATCATTAGCTTATCGTCCTCTGTTATATTTCCCTCTTGTCTTTAGCGTCATACTGCTGTAGAGTCTTTGGTTTTCGCTGTATTTTGTCTGGCGATAGCTAACCTTTTATCAGGACTCCACCCTCTCTTGCTCTGGTTTAGCTGTTCTTGAATTATAGAGAACAAAAAGAAGTAGTAGGAGCTTGATGTTGTTCCTTGTTGTGTCACAAATGAAACGACATCTCATCTTTGCATTTTCTGAAATGATGATTAGTGCCCACATCATGGCACTCTGCTCAAAGCAAACACAACCAGGGTTGGGGTAGACCAGGGACATGCTGATTGTGGCCAGGCCAGACCGGGCTGGGTCTTAAAGTACTAAAGTGTCTTATCATTGTATATAACCATCAAAAATAAGACATCCAAAAACAAATCAGTACTTTTTAAAATCAAATGTTAGAGTTATTTTACTTACAATATGTGCTTTTTAACTAGTTTGGCTTTTTTTGGTTCTTTACTGTAACCATTTGCAATTAAAACTACAGGTCTTGTTTAGCTCCTGACTAGTAGTAGGTACTTTATTAGTTCATTGGAACACTTCAGTAAAGTAATGAGATTAGAGCGCTCAATACATTACCATGCATCACGGCCACATCTGGCCTCGTGGGTGACTTCCATGCAGCCAGCCAATGAGCAACACCCCACCCCCAATATTTTTTTTCTTTTTTACTTAATTTAATATAAAAACAGGTTTAAAATCATTTGGATTTTTTTTTAACATTTATGATTCAATGCAACAAAATAAACACATTTAGTGTTTCACTTAACATTAATGGGCAGCGTCCCACCCCTTCCCGGGTTTGTCCAGCCCCTGAGACATTGGCTTTGAGTAATTTTGGCCCCTGGAGCGATGTAGTTGAACAGTCTTGCCATACATTAATTGAAGGTAAATGGCATTCCAGTTCAGCTAAAACTGTCATAACATTGGTGTAGTAGATGCTACTTATTTGTCCCTATATGACTCATATGCTGTGCTTTAGTTTGAGCATATGCAAAGGAAGTAGTCTGAACTGTTAAGTCTCGGTTTCTATAACAAATGCTTTAAAATATCTGAAGCACTTTTTCAAGTTCAGCTTTAAAAGTTAAACTGAAGCCTTGCAACACAAGTTCAACTATGATGTCCTCCACCAATGTTTTTGTAATTATCATTAAAGACAAAGCCAGTGCCATGTATAGACTTCTACACAAAGGATGGAAGGTAGAAGCAGTGGCGGCTGGTCAATAGGGGGCGCTAGGGCGCCGCCCCACCACTAATTTTGGTACACAAAAAATTAATTAATTAATAAAATAAAAAACCAAATAAAACATTATAAATGTTTTGAAAAATATTATATATATGTTTTCTGATAAGTAAAATAAATAATTTAGAGTTATTGATGTGTAAACTTCCATTTTACTCATGAGCCTGTTCGTGTTGAGTCACTTCCGGGTCACGAGCGGTTCGGCGCCCCAGAGTCCCATAGACAAGTCATTGTAAGATTTTGGACATGCACAGTAAGTCCCCAATGCAAAAGAATAGAGTGGCCTGTGGCGCAGCTCGTCACCGCCCCGCAGCTGACCTCTCATATTCAGTTCTATGGGGTCCACCCTGTCGACGACTCAACGTCATTTTAATGTGGCAGCCCACAGGGGTTTAGGAAGTGGGTTTCGGAGAACAACAAATGAGAATGAAGGAGAAAACAACACCGTAAGTCTCTTGTATCTAAACCTTTTCAAAGCAGAACATTTGAGGAGAAACTTAAAGTGAAGTAGCTTGGACCGGATAAGCCAAACATAATAAAAATTGAGCAAGAACGTGGTTTAGCATAAGGCTTGGTTACATGCTATATTAGCCAAGTTGTAACAACTGCTCAAAAAATTAAAGGTCCTAGATCTGAATGAATGAAATATTCTCATTGAATACTTTCTTCTAAACAAAGTTGAATGTGCTGACAGCTTGTGAAATAGTTTGTCATCAGTACTACTTCACATAATCATATAATATATATATATATTTTTTTTCTTCTGTTGTGCATAGTTTATTTTGTTTTTTAATAAAATGAATACATTTTTAAAATAATCATATAATGTAATTGTTAACCTTAGAGCTGCAACAACTGGTTGCTATTAAAATAACTTTTTTTTCAAATTAAATATATATTATAAAGCTCACTTGTAGCCATCTTCATATTGAATTAAATTTGTRCATTTATTGTTTTAGGTTTGTGACATCATCTTGAGCCATTCACATGCATCTGATCATAGCTACAGTGCTGCAGGCAGACAGGTTCCTGAAGGATCACAGACAATTTTTGAAGCAGCTCTGAAGACCATGGAGGCTCACCCAATGCTGAACAGGACCAAGAAGTCTGATGTAGTTCAGGAGCTGCAGCTGTCCATGAGGAACAATCTGCAGGACACCTTCAGAGACTGTGACTCTGCTGAAGATTCTCATCACATCTCCTCTGACCACAGCTGAATCTGAGAGGARCTTCTCAACACTGAAGACAATCCAGACTTTCCTCAGGTACACAACACACATCTCACTGCACTGACCATGCTCTGTAGAGAAGAATCTTTTTAAAACATCCCTGACTTTAACCAGAGACATGAAGAAATTTGCTTCTCAGTAACAAAAGAGCAAAATTTATGTAAAAAATAATAAAACACTACATGACATTGTAATGCTGTTTTATTATTTTCATTTGTTTAATAAATACGCTGGCATGATACAACTTAACGTGTTTGATTGCTTTCTGAGATCCATCTATTTCGGAGTTGTAGCCCCCGCTGGAGAAAAATCCACCAGCCGCCACTGGGTAGAAGTCATGTGGGTCATGGAGCTGCAGATAAATCCAAACAGCAGCAGCTCCAGCATTGAGCACAGGTCATTCTGTGTTTCTGAAGTTTTCTCTCCGGTAAGTTGATGATGATACCACATATTGTACAGCATTATCTGACTGCTTTGTACCGCAYTGTCATCAGTGATATTTTGTAGTCAGTTTTAGTTACTGAAACATGTTAACTAGCTAGTTGTATTTAACTGCAGCTAGCTTGTGAGCAGGACAGGTTTAAACGGGTCTATTTCAGCTAAGTATCCAATACGTTTAAATTTTGAAGTAGATCAATTTCTAAATTTAGTGGTAATTCAAGTTTCTGAACCATCTCAACTAGAAAATACGTTTAGCTTTTGTTCTGCGTGATTRATGCGGTTTATTTAGTTTGTCAAAGATGGCAGCATTAATGGGAATATTATCAGTAAAGTCATGTGTGATTGTGAAGATGAGTGATGATTTTATCTTTTTCAGTGAGACCACACAAGACTGACTTCAATGAACTGCTGAAGCATGTTGCGTACACATCATCACAAAGGTAACAAGATGTCATTTTCTGTTCTCAAAAATAATCAGAGATGAATCAAGATGTTTGACCAACATAAACTTTAAAAAGTTGGTAATTACTGCAGGCCTGTTCATTTGCATTTGTTTTATTTCATTAGTTTAGCATTTGTAATTATGGGATCAAGTTGAGATTAGAATCTTATTTCAAGATGGAGCAAGAAATTAAGAAGTATTAAGTAGAATATATCAGCATCAATAAATGACTGTAGAACAGTAACTAAAAATATTATTAAACAATTATAAGTAACACTGCAGTCAGTGTATACATGTCCATACATACAGTATATGGACATGTATGGTGGCGGGGGCTTGCAAAGAAGAGACCATGCTCCTCCATGGCAATGATCAAGGTGTTGGGGGGGACTTGCTTGTTGTGCTTTCTAATAAGCTTGCTTCTCTCTTTATACTGTAGTATTCATGGAAAATGGGAGCTCCATGAACGATGCACCAGACCTTGCTCTGAAAAGCCTCTCAACTTTCTGGATCACACTGAAGACCTTGTGATGACAGACATGACACTCCTAGTGTCATTGTTACTTATCTGTGGTAGAATTATAAATGCCTGTCCTCAAATTAGTTAATTACTTTTTAAAATATAGGTATTAGAAGTTTGGTCCGAAATTTTTAAATGAAAACTGTATTGGTTTCAAACTGTATTAATCTGCTTTAAACCGAAAACACGTTATATTTTGTCTTGTTAATGCATTCCGCAGTGAAAATAATGGGTGCAATGATGACAATGACCATTTATTTGTTTACCACCTGCTCTCTCCCACTCAGGCCACAGCCTCACCTCACTGATGCCGCCACCTCCTCCCAACTTCCATCCCCGGCCTCAAACAGCAGCCGAGGCTAAAAGCACACCCTGTCATCTTTAGCTTGTAATTGCTCGGTTTGACACTGCTCCTCCGTTCTCTGGGGCTCTGGCAATTACAGAAATACAATGAGGCTGGGGTTTGTCCTCGCAGGCTGTGGAATGTATATACTAATTCGCAATAAAGTGCTACAGCTGTCGGTGCATTTTCTGCTCGGTTACTTCAATAAATTGGAACTCGGAGATGGGGGGAAAAAACAGGGAATATTGTATTATGTGCTTCCCACAGTCGTGTAAACACAATTTGGACAATTCTATTTTCTTCTGTACTGAGAGTGTAACTTTTCGTTTTGGAGAAAGCCGCAGTACAAAACCGCTACAGTTGGTGATTTTTCTTTTTAACCTCAAAGATGGGATTTCTGTGGTTTGGCTCTTATCATTTGTGCTCATTTGCTAATTAAAAGCTTAGCATTCCTTAAAGGAATAGTTATCATCCAAAACCTTTCATGTGATGGTTTTAAACACTATATGTTGCGAAGGATGAAGTTAAAGACATTCTGGTCAAACCTTGAAATTAACATCTTATGCAAGATTGCAAGACACTCACAGAGAATGACTCTCAGATACTACGTCATCTGGATTTAGCCCAATATTAGTAAAATTAAAAAAGGTGTAGACATTTTTGTGTTGATTAAGGGTGACTAGCTGTGGCAGCTGTCTTAAATTGTATTGATTCCAAAATATAATCAGGTATAGAAGTATATTTGACCGATTTCARTTTTTTATATTTAATTATTCCGTCCCACCATGTCGTGTCCGACATGGTGGGAACCATGTTATTCAAGCCTTGAAGTGTGCGCCATTCAGCGAAGAAAAGAACAGCAAGCTACTGACTGGCTTCAGAACCTCAACTGATCGGGTAGTAATTTGGGCCTATGTTACTGTTTTTCATCAGTGGACAAAAGACATTAGTGCTAAAGGCACACATATAACAGACTCTG